CAATCTATTCTTCTTGCATAAAGAATCGATGATTATAGAAAATGTGTAAGCACTCGGTCTAACTTGCTTTACACCCATTTCATGCAAAAGCTTCAACGCATCATCAACCTGCCCCTTTTCACAGTACCCATAAATCAACGAGGTGAATGTAACCACATCTGGAGAACACCCACACATCCACATCTTCTCAAACACCAAATTGGCCGATCTCAAGTCACAAACTTTACCATACCCGTCTATAAGCACATTGTAACTAACCCTACTTGGTCTAATCCCAAACTCAACCATCTCATCAAAAAACCTTCACCGCCTCCTCCATCTTACCCAACTTACAATACCCTACTTGGTATAACTCTTCACATCCAGGAACTCTATCGCCCTCAGAATCTTGCGTCCTCTATCCACCTCATTACCCTTGCATAGAACAATTTTTCAAAATAAACCCATTTAAAATTTTTATTAAAAAACAGACTCACTCCCATTTTATTTCTAGAAACCAACTCATTTCGTGGCCACGTCAGCAGCGTGACCATGAAATGGGTCGGTTTTTTTAATCTCGCCTCTAAATAGTCGGGGTTGGTAATCCCGGGGTTGCTAACCCCGATTATTTTGCACGCCCTGGTTAATATACATGCTAAATTAGTCGGGATTGGCAACCCCGACTAATTTAGCATGCTGTCTAATTGGTCGGGGTTGGGAACCCCGACCAATTCGAAAGCCCGCTATCGAAATGGTCGGGATTCCCAACCCCGACCATTTAGCAGAGACTTCTGACCCAGTCGCCGAGTGGAGCTGAAAACGGCTAAAGGACAATAGTCAGGATTGTGAACCCCGACTATTTGTTACCTGGGCCCGCCCCTTATATAAAGGTGACGACTTCATCTCCTAAGCCCCCAATTCGTTTCCAGTCGCCGCTCTCCTCTCATTTTTGTCGTTGTCCTCCTCCCAAACTCTGTGTGAGCCATCGATCTCAAATTTCAACCTTAATTTTCGTCTGAATTTCATAGTGAAAGATACCAGATAATTTCTCTATATTCCGTATAAGTGTGTCCTGTCAATGCTAAGGAGCGACCGACAAAATTTAAATCTCTCGATCGAATGACCAAATATCCAAAATACAAAGGTGAATTTATGAATTCCCGGATTGACCTATTTGGTTATGAGTTTGTATTCGGATTGTTTCTTTTGATCGCATCAAGATATTGAGGCAATGTCGCGTAAGACTTCTCCCAATCACCAAATATTTTTGTCATCGCAATTCTCCTTGCATTCCACGCTTTGCTATACGATATTTCAATCCACTTATCACGTGACACTCTATCAATTATGTCATCGGGCTTTAGTTCAAGCTTTTTTTTTATTTTGGCATAATCAACTGAGCTATGTAAGAGACTGAGGCACCACTGTGATCTCTCTCGAACATTGGATTGTTACATGTGTGAACACTGTAGTATTTTGTGATCCTAAAATACCAATTATGTTTCTTTCCGGCAAATGCATATAACTTCCAAGGACATGCGTAATCAGATTCATTCCCCTCTGCCCGACCTTGCCTTTGTGTATTCATAAAACAGATTGTCTCATAACTTGTGCGATTACTTTTAATTCGCTTGAATTTGACCAACTTTTTGATTGAGTAATCACGAATAGCATCAACCAATTGGTCTTTAGTCTCGAATAATTCACCAACTCTGAAAGGGACCTCCTCATCATCTCCTCTATTAGATGAACTTTCGCCAATGCGCATATCATGTACTGTGGAAGAACGAACCCACTCATCATATTCAAACTCGTTAGGGGATGGTTCTTCGTACTTAACATATTCATTATTAACATAAGCTTCATTTGGCCAATCGAGATTCTCTTCATCATCTTCACCCACAAATTGCATGCTGTTAATTGGTGTACTATCTTCATCTTCATCATCAGAGGCGTCGCTTCTTTCATCCTCTTCATATGAAGGTGCACCACTGTGATATTGAAGTTGAGTCCGCTCCATTCCACTCGAAGAAGAAAGAAAGCGTTCAGACTTAACTCCCAAATCTAACATGCGTGAGAATTCTCCTGGATGGTTGAATATTTAGCTCGTACTATGTGGCACCGTTTCAATAAACAATTCTATCGTTGGTTGTGACTTGCTCAAATTAAACAAAATACTCATCGAATGATCGTTTGAGATCTCAACTGCGTACGTTCAATCATAAGTTATCGGTCAATTACATATTATTTTTAGTCGATACTCTCGTGGTCAATTGTCGTAACTCGATGCAATTCATTAACCAAGTCAAGGTAACTATATGATTCTGATATCATTAACGGGATTGTCACCCCTCCAACGTACATTGGCATATTATTTATTCCATAATTAATCGTTCCACACTAAGAACAAGCAATAATAATCATATTGTTCAACCTATGCAAAACAAAATTATATCATTTAAATAAAAAAAATTAAAAAATATTATCAATTACAACCCTAAACCCCAATTACAACCCTAAACCACCAAATCCTAAACACTAAAATTGACCCCCAAATCCTAAACCATAAAATTGAGTATCCTATGCCCTAAATGTTTAATTTTAACTACAACAAGAATAAAATTTCCAAATAAACCACTACAAATAGAGTTCAAACATTAGAAATTCGTTTTTGAGAAAAAATCCTAAATTTTCTACATGTTAAAATAGGAGAGAATGTAGAGAAATTACCTGGTAGATCTTTCACTATGAAATTCAGACAAAAATTGAGGTTAAAATCTGACATCGGTGGCTCAAACAGAGTTTGGGAGGAGGACAACGACGAAAATGAGAGGAGAGCGGCGGCTGGAAACGAATAGGGGCTTAGGAGATGAAGTCGTCGCTTTTATATAGGGGGCGGGCCCAGGTAACAAATAGTCGGGGTTCATAACCCTGACTATTGTCCTTTAGCCATTTTCAGCTCCACTCAATGACTGAGCCAGAAGTCTCTGCTAAATGGTCGGGGTTGGGAATCCCGACCATTTCGATAGCGGGTTTTCGAATTAGTCGGGGTTCCTAACCCCGACCAATTAGACAACGTGCTAAAATAGTCGGGGTTGCCAACCCCGACTAATTTAGCATGTATATTAATTAAGGTGTGCAAAATAGTCGAGGTTGGCAACCCCGACTATTTAGAGGCGAGATTAAAAAAACCGACCCATTTCCTGGCCACACTGCTGGCGTGGCCACGAAATGGGTCGGTTTCTGGAAATAAAATGAGAGTGAGTCTGTTGTTTTAATAAAAAACTTAAAAGGGTTTATTTTGAAAAAATATTCCCCTTGCATAACCCATCAATTAGCACATTGTGTGTAATCGTGTCAGGAAAGATTCCATAACTCCTCATTTGTTCAAAAAACCTAAATGCACCATCTATATCTCCCAGTTTACAGCAAGCGTTGACAACACTATTAAAGCTACATGTATCCGGGGGAAAAAGGTTGCAATCTTAACTGCTCCCGAGCTAAAAAGATCGCATCTTGAGCGCGATTTCCAGAAATCAAAAGGTTCAAAAGGCTATCAAATGTGCAACCACGAATCCTGCATCTCAAGTCAACAGCTCTACTGAAACAATTTCAAACAACTCTGCCGATCACCGGATTGAACAAAAGAAGTCAATAAAAAGTCGACTAATAGATGTTCAACCAGATATCCTCTCTCGGCCATTTCGTCGAACACCTTGAGCGCGTCGACTCTGCGGTCGGATCGATCGACGAGTGATGACGTCGCAGTTTGC